AAGGAAGCCCAAGAAGGCGTAGTGTCCCTACACGTTGGCTTGGACTTCTCAAATATTTGCGGATGAGACAAATATATTTGGGTGCATCGGTACGAGAAATTTGTGCAAATATTCGCAGGGGCGCACATATTTGTCGCTGGTAAAAGCCGCGTGACAGATATTTGTTAGTGGCCAAATATCTGCCAACTGAATATTTGAAGAATATTGGGATGTGTGGACGTGTGCCGCGTCCCATGCCTCAGGACGCAGGGGGGGAAATACTCAAATATCTCGCAAATATTTGGTGGTGTACATAGCGCTATGTAGCGCTGAGACTAAATATTTGGCAAATATTTGGGAGGGGGGGTACCCTCCTCCCCTCGCTCATACATACATCCCAAATATTTGGGGTTCACCTCGAATATCTGGGAGGGGCATCCCTCCAACCGTCTCAAATATTTGGAAGGGCCACTATAACATTTGGGCCAAATAATTCGCGTTTTACTATAACTATAAGGATCAAAAAATTTATCTAGTGTGTACTGGTGACGATTTTGGCGCACTCACTCTCCTGGTCGGAAATACCAGTCATGCCTCCTGAGCCTGCTTCTCATCCCAACGGAAAGGGGAAGAGAGTTGCGGCGCACAAAGGAGGTGCGACGAGAGTCCTCCAGGAGGCCGACTGAACGATGGGCACCGGGAGATGAGTTGGTTGTATTATATGATAAGCGCTTATGCTATCAACTCTGCGAATAACTCCCACTCCCCGTCCTAGTTGGTTGATAACACTGCGAAGATCTCGTCTGGAGTTCTTCGCCCAACACTAGATCGCATCCCTGCAAGCCCAGTCTTTGGACAGGAGCAAGGGTTGCGCTCAGACCGGAGGCACCGATATGCCATGACTTCAACGAAGCTCTGCCCACCACTCATCCTCCTACTAACACATCATCCCGTGACTGATCCCAATGTTTGGAGACTATGCGTTCTCCATCCAATCGGAGTCGGCGATACCACACTACGTATATGCTGACCTCGTCTTCAATGTAATCGCATGTAGATACCTGTATGGTCGCCAACCAGACAGCAGATGCGGCTGGCTCGACAGAATCCCACCTGACATTTTCTCGCAACAGGTTCAGGTGAGTAGCTGCAGGATCTAATTGAAACCGATCAAGCCATCACAACAGGGAGGCTTCCTGTCCCATTCTACAGGCTCATCTCCGGTATGCGATGTTCGTGCTCAGCTGCCATTGTCTTCCATCTGCATGTCGCCAAGGCAATGTACGACGTATTCTCATCATTTCTTCCATTCGTCTCCCCGTCTCAGACATCAGGTAACAGAAGCTCATGATATGATGCCTCGCAAGGTTCAATCGCTGGGGAAGTGTTGGCGACGCTAATATGATGTAATTCGTCTCCGTTGCTAGAGCCCAGGATCCCGTCACTCATTCACACCCTTATACAGCTGTCCTTACACCAGATAGAACGAGGAAACTATCAAGCGCCAGACAGTACGTCTCTTCATTGTTAGTATTTGGCCATTGCGAGAGGTCACTGATGTTGCTATCCAAAGACGAACTTCATCGGTAGATAACTACGAACAGCTTCTGGGCGTGTGGATCAATAGACATCGCGGCGTGAATCATCCAAGCAACATAACTTCCCTCCCAGCCCTTGACGACACCTCTTCGCTGCCGCTACAAAACTGTCACAGTTTTCTCGTGCCACGTGACCTGGGGGTCATGTGTACTGGGACAGACGCTCACCTTGACCGCGGACAACTCGTATCGGAAAGTGGAGGAGCCAGGATCGAACCCCAGACCTCGTGACGGCCAGGAGCGCCCATCCTCACTCACAGGCAGGTGACTGATGTGACAGCAGGAGCGCTTACTCATTGGGAGGGGTCCGGACTTGGCACGACTCAGGTATTAGTCGTAAGGTCACCATGAGGCAGGTCAGAGGGTAGGACATGAGGCAGAGAACTCTGACCAAACGATGGTCAATAGGTACCTGGTCTGTGCACCATTGTATTAGTATATATAGTAGGGAGTCTGAGGCAGGGAACCTCAGACTTGATCTTCTCGTCGATCCCCCGTCTCCTCTGTAGGTAGTGATAAACTCGGGGCTGTGAAGACAAGGATTAGATCCGACTAGAGTCGAAGCAAGATCTTCAGTCAGTAAGGAAAGACTATATTGCAGCAACG